TTGAATAAAATATTATTAAAAAAAATTCTCAAAATTTCAAAGTAAACGCGTTTTCCATTTTTATGTTTTCAGAAACAGTTTTTCAGAATGGCAAAAAGAACGCATTTTCAGAAATTTCAAAACAGATACTCAAAATACAAACACAAAATGAATTCAAAACTCAAAACACAAAACTGAAATATAAAGAGAATAACCCCTTAGTTTTGTTTGATCCAGTTGACGACCTTGACCCGAATATTGTTGAGTGGTTTTTTAATGGGAGATTTTTTTAGGCTTAGTCCATAGAGCGGAGACTTGGCCCAAGCCAGAGCTCTCGGGAAATTTTTTTTAGCCCGTTTTATTGCCCATTGTGAATCCTGTGCGAATGATATATATAGAAAACACAGTTTTGGTAATTAGGGTTCTTTATGATATATGGAGAGAGAAAAAAAAAATTGTACGGCCGCACTTTGTATTCTTTCCCTAATAATAGTGAAATCTCTAAAACTTTGTGGAAGTAGGCAAATTGGCCGAACCACATAAATATTGTTTTGTGCGTGTGATTATTTTTCTTTGACGTGTGTTTTCTCTATTTAGTGTTTCTCACAGTTTGGGAGTTTCGGGTTAATTCCCTACACAAAAGTATTGCCACTGAGAATATATGTGGTTGAATTTAAAAAAAAAAAAACTAATTTTAAAGAATATGTAGCTAATGGAGGCTTAAAAGAAAAATTAAAAAGCTGCTCACAAAAGAGGCCTGGTGGATTAGTGCATCGACCAATCAAAATGGGGTTTCAAAAAGCTTTCACAGCCTTAGTTTTACTGAGTTTTCTGCACATACATACTCATTATAGATTTGTACTGTTTTATCGAAGTAGGCTAATACAAATAGTCACACACATACAAACATACACAAGGCAGGCTGCTGCTACCTACTATTAATAACTACTTAATTACTGCTTTTTTTTTTTAGCATTCTATTTTTATATCTTTTTCACGTTTTTTAAAAAATAGTCCTGAAGGGGATTGTTGACTCCCAATTAAAGAAAGTTTGCAGAGGCATTCCTTGTGTTTCAGCACACACAAGGCACAGATAAAACCTAACAAGGCAATGCCTTTCATGTAGTGAATTCTTGAATGGATTGTATAATTTATTTAAATTAAAAATAGAGAAAATTATTATGTAGAAAATGTTTGGGAATTTGAATTACAAAGCCGGATTATTAAAGAAAATTTGATGGAAATAGAGTCTGTTTTAACTGTTTATATTTTTCATTGCATGTCTGTTGGAGATTTTCATCAAATTTTGAGTAATAATCCAACCGTTAAAGTCAACAAGTGGGGGCTACCTTAGAGAGGAGGAGTAAAATATGGTGGGCTGCTATGCTGGGTAACGGACGGAAAATCAATTCTAATTGGTTTGAAAATTTCTCCTAGACAAAGCCTTATTTCTGGGCGTTACTTCATTTAGGGTTTCTACTTGGGTTGGCTGTCTTATGTATGAAAAATATTGTCATTTCTCTCAAAGACCTCTTCAATTTTCGATACAAGATTCCCAATTTCTTGATGTTCTTTTCATTTTTTTAAACTTTCTATTTCTTCGAATTTATCTTCCTCAAATGGAGACTCGAATCCTAGGTCAATGTTGTGGTAAAACTTCGTTCTTACCACTTGGAGCTAGGCCTTTGTCTCTCGATGTTCTCAGAATATATAGTTGGAAGTGTTATTCATTGTTTTCGCCAAAAAAAAAATAATAATAATAATAATAAATGCGACTGTCTTTGTTAATCGTTCTTAGAATAGTTGAAATGTATTGTTCAATTTTGGAGGTGAAAATAGTTTGAGAAACAAAAGGGTAATTAAAAAAGCTGTGTTCAATTTCTTGATAACATAAATTTCACTGAAATGTGAAAAGACAAAAACTAAAAACTGCTAACAAGAAAGCTTGAGGGACAGATCAAGAGAAGTGGTTGCATCAAAACCAGTTTCTCTTTCTCCATCTGCACAAGAAGAAGCTTCGGAATTAACCCCCAAATTCATCATTGCCACTTCATTGTTACATGTGCTTCTACTTCCTGGAAAAAAATCATATTCCATGAACACAGTTCCATTTCCTGTTCTTGAATTTCCCTTCCTGTGGAGTACCACTACTTCCACACCCTACGATTAATAAACACAATTTCTATGTTAAATCTTGTGTGTTCTAATATTTCAACAGATAATAAGAGAAATAAAGCTCACCTGCTGGCAATTGCGAACTGGATATCTGGCATGAGGGACGGTCGGTGCCTGTATTCCAACTTCTTGAACCTTTTGCTTAATACTTTGATTATCTCCAACATTTAATCCTAAGAAGTCAGAGTTACTGATGGGAGACATCTGCATATACAAGCCTGATTTGGCTCTACTGCACCCTGAAATTTCGCCGTTAACTCTCTTCTTCTGCAAGGCCAAGAAAGACATTAAAAACATCGAAAAATTATCAATCTAAAGGTATGCTAAATTTCAAGATTATGCTTGAAAGTTTTTTTACCTTGTGACAAACATTACAGCGTTCATAGTAACACATAACGCCATTTGGTGTTGAAGAGAGCTCTTTCGAGTTCCTCGATCCACCAACTCCAAACGGATCCACCTGAAACTGATCTTGGAAACCAAAGTAACTGTGATTCTGGTTCAAGCTCATTTGTCCAATGCCTCCATTCACAGTCCCAAACCCACCCAACTTTGCAAACTGCATAGGAACAGAATTAGGATTCATCACAGTAAGATTAAACAAAGAAGCTGGATTAACGGTGAGGGTCCGTTTAGTGGGGTTTTTCAACCCTTCTTGCACCCTGAGCCGCTCAAGCTGAGCCACCCCCATGCCTCTCTGAGGCTGCTTCTTCTTCTTCTTCTGACCCATGGCTTCATTACCTTTCGGGTTTCTTCTTCCAGTACTACTTCGTATTGGCTGGTGATCATGATCCTTAAAGAAATAAATTTGTGGTTTTGTGTTTGTGTTGTGATCAGAGGCCATGAATAAAGAAGTAGCCATTAATTGTATACTCCGAGAGAAGGGCTTGAAGAGATCTAGAGAGAGAAAAGAAGTTGAAGTAGGACAGCTGAGAAATGCAAAATGAGCATAGGACGTGTATATATACTGCATGTGTTGTGATTCTTGAAGCTTTTTGTCTGTCTATATGTATATGCAGATATGCAGCAGCAGCAGCAGCAGCAGAGTTGATATTGCCACCTTTCTTTTCACTTTTACCAGAGCTGTTGATTTTTTGTCTTTTGTTTGGTGCTTCTGATGACTGAGATTTTGTACCACATTTTGGTTGGTAGGAACTTTTGTGGGAAAATGATTAATGAACATTCAGACAACTAAAGATTGGTGCACTTTTAATTATGCTACAAACATCAACTTATTAGGATCTTGTTTAATAACAAGGTTATAGCTAATCATTTTATTTACTAAAAATCTGGATTTTAGCTAAATTGAAGGACCCTAGTTTCGTGATGTCAAGTATTGTTTGAACATTTGAAGCACAATCACATCGAACGAGATTGTGAGTGTAATGTGTCAAAATCCGTAATCAAGACTATATATCTAGCTTTTGAAAGTAAAAAACCAAACCGCTAAATCAAATTAAATGATTCATCCAAGATAATACTAAATGATCTCCGTCAATCCAAAGTCTCGTACTAGACACACAAATGCAAACTATCAAGTTCTAGAAGATATAAGACGGTGAAATAGTTAAAGATTTAACCCTATTAGTTACATATATTTTTAAAACTCTTTTTTAACCACACTTGCTCTAACAAATAAAATTTTTTACACGTGAATTCATTACTTTTCGTGACCTCGTGTTCTTTAAAACTATCATTTTTACAAAATTTATTCCCAAAAAAATTTATATCAAACATGCCCCTAAAATCGTTCTTCTCAATTCCTGTTATTTAGAGGCAAGAGTTGAACTGGCAGGTGTTAAGTGGTCCCCATACGGGCGGCGGGGGAGGGAGGGAGGCAAAATATAGGGGGCAGAGCAAGCTGGATTAATGGTGTGTGCACATATCCGTAAAATTCCATGCAGAGCCTGAGCCACTATCTCTCAGAACTACCATAATCCATCATGTCTGCCCAAAATAGTACATCCAAACACACCCTATTCTCATACCAAACAACCCCTCCACGTCGCTTTTCCTCAGCCGCCTCATAATCTTTCTCCTCGTACGTACGAGTAAAGATTATCTACACTGCCACCCCAACCAATGTGGACCCACACTAGCTTTGGGACCATTCTTCTTAGTTCTTTCCACCCTATTGGCTCATTTGGGAAAGTCTGTGGCTCCCACATTTTGAGGTGGTGGGATCTAATTAATTGAGATCGTGACATTTGTACAGATAGCATTATTATATAATTTGTAGAGTTGAGTGTTTTGGTAGGTCATGCTGTTTAGATTTTGTATTAGTGACTTGATCACTAAAACAAAAGGCGGGACAAAAACTTGTATTATCGATTCACTTCTTCTATTGGTAGTTTTTTTTTTTTACTGATTTGACACCTGTTTCTTGATTTTTTGTTTTATTAAACTAATTGGGTTCTTTCTCGAAAATGTGCATTTGTAGAGTGCATAAAAAGGGGGTTTGATTTGGACATTTGGTGATAAAGGAAGAATTATGAGGTCTATAACCTAAACTCTATGGACTAAGATGTAAATGCAACAACTCCTAGTGCGTGTTTTCTAGGTTCTTTCTATGTGGATATCCACATTTGATAAGAGTTATTAAGAGATTGTCTCTTTGTATTTTAGTTTTTAGTTTTTAAATTCATTTTGGGTATTGTATTTTGACTGTCCAGTTTGATATTGCTGAAAACGCGTTCTTTTTGTCATTTTGAAAAATTGTTTTCAAAAATGAAACACGCATTTGCTTTCTAATTTTGGAAAACTGAAAACTGATTATTCAATATATATAGTTCTTTTACCTATATAACAAAACAAAAGACGCTGTAATTGTGGTTAAGACATTGAAATTCCGTTTTGGTGACCCGAGTTCAAATCTCAGTTACCTACCAATTTGAAAAAATTTGTACCGCGCATATAAAAAAGAAAATTCCTTTGTATTGAATTGCGGTGAAACGAAATCGAACTCAAGACCTTCAAAAAATCCATGACTCTCCAACTGAGCTATCACAGTATTAGCAAAATCTGGCCATTTTCCGCGTTTTGAAGTTTTAGCTTAGTTTTAACTGAAAATAGTTTAAACGACTTTTTCGACGTAAATTTTAAACTCGTTTTTGAAAATAGGTAAGTAAACGTGTTTTCAGTATTTTCGAAAATCGAAAACTGAAAATTGCCTGAAAACAACAAAGAAAAACATGCCCTAAGTTACTTATTTGATGGTACCCCACGGGAACGAGTTCAACTAATTACACATGGTTGAAAAGTGTTTGCGTAAAACCCATAAGCGTACGAGATCGTTGTACATGTAATAAAATATGTGAATTAAGAGTATCGTTTCCACGAGAAATAATGTCTAATTTGTAGTTCAATAGTTTTTATCAAATTCGAAATATAGCAACAAAAGATAAATGTGTTTTGTTGTTTATACCGATCACTACTCTAAGAAAACAAATAAGTACGATATTTTTCTAATATGTGATGCTTGTATTGGAATCGTGGCTCCCTATATTTTCATCTATTTCAATTATTAATAATTAATCTAGTAAATTCATGCATTTTTTAACAATCGATAAAGCTAATATGTTAAATGCTCTTTCCCAAAATACATCAATTTATGATTAACACGAGACAATCATATTCCTAATCTAAATTCATATGAAAGTCATGCACTTGGTTTAGATTATCAACAAGATTGCATGTGTGAAAGAGATTATTCATAATTTTAACTTCACATGTTGATTTTACCACGTTCTAGACTTACGGTGAGTATTCCTATACTACAACAAGCAATTAACTACTTAATGGTGATCAAACAATAAGTAGTGCAATGAGTATGTAAAATCAATCAAATAACAACATGAAATTCCTAAATTGATGTCTTGAATTAAAATAAATGAAAATAAAATTTAACATTCATCCAATATAATTGAAAAACCTAGCCAACCATCCAAATTATTAAACTATACAAAAAATAATGAAAAGACATCACCCAGATCGAGAAATAATGAAGAAAGGGGAGAAATCCAATTTCTTGACTTGAATATTGAAAAGTGGTTATTATTTTTGAATAAACTTGTATAATTTGCCTTAGGTTGATGATTGCTCATCGTTCTTCGCCTCCAAAAATACGTAGAATATATGATTTTTATGTCAAAAGGAGGTCTCTCTTGTGTTTAGCTAGAGTTTGGTATATATAGGATACTTAAAATCTTGTTATCAAAGTAGAGTTTCAATTGAAAAATGAAACAAAATTGCTCCATAAGTTTGTACTATACGGTCGTATAGAAGGGCGTCAAACCATAATTTTGTCCCTAGAATGCATGATGCAGTGGCATCAAATTAGACCTATGCGACCATAAATCGACACTTTGAAGTAAATAACAAAAGTTATGTACTAAAAGAAAGTTATAAGAAGATACAATCGAAGCACACTTTTCAAGCAATCACCTGAAATTAGGCAATGACATTCTTCAATCTTCAAATTCCAGCAATATTTCGTTTACTTGTATATGATTATGCTGGTTTTGGCCTTAAATTTTCAAGCAAGTTACTTCTGATGCGTTTGAATTATGTGATTGAGCAATCATTAGAATGCACAAATTCAGATTAACATGAAGAAAGTGACAGATCGCCAAAGATAGGACATTAGTCCAACAAAACAAATTCAAATTAACGTGGTTTGCACATGGAAGAAATGGCCTTAAAGAACTTCAATGAATCCTTAGAGGAAGAATACATTCATTGAGACAATAATCAAAGATTTGGTTATCATGATAGAATAGATGTAAACTATTGTATGTTCTAGGTCCAATCAATTTTGGACATAAACACTTTTAGTATATAATTTATGCATATTTATAGCAAGATCTATTATATAATTGAATTAATGTTATAATAAATTAAATAATGGAATTCGTAGATTCAAGTTTTGACAATTTGTTAAATCAAAATGAGTTGTGATTGTGGGATACAATCCAGAGTATTGGTGCGATGGCTCTTGGAGTGTCATTCTTTACTTGTTATTCATTCTCGCCCCAACTACTTTTTTGTTTTTCCCATCTTTTGATTTTATGGTGGCCGAAGTTTTGGGGTGGATTTTGTGTGTATTTGTAATAATGGGGATTTTGTGTGTATCCACAAAATTGATACCAGAATCGCTTTAACCAATTCTACAACATATTTGGGTAATTTGAAGTAACCTAATTTAATTAGCGTTACTCGTGGCCCGATCCATAAATTTTGGATTGTTTCTTTGGTCGATAGCCCATTTACCCACTACCTATTAGCTATTGGGCCTAATTATTACCTAACCTAAAAACAATAAGTAGTGCAATGAGTATATAAAATCAATCAAATAATAACATGAAATTCCTAAATTGATGTTTTGAATTAAAATAAATGAAAATAGAATTTAACATTCATCCAATATAATTGAAAAGTCTAGCCAACCATCCAAATTATTAAACTATACAAAAAATAATGAAAAGACATCGCCCGGATTGAGAAATAATGAAGAAAGTGGAGAAATCCAATTTCTTGACTTGAATATTGAAAAGTGGTTATTATTTTTCAATAAACTTGTATAATTTGCCTTAGGTTGATGATTGCTCCTCGTTCTTCGCCTCCAAAAATACGTAGAATATATGACTTTTATGTCAAAAGGAGGTCTCTCTTGTGTTCTGCTCGATTTTGGTATATATGGGATGCATAAAATCTTGTTATCAAAGTAGAGTTTCAATTGAAAAAGGAAACAAAATTTCACCATAAGTTTGTACTATACGGTCGCATAGAAGGGCGTCGAACCATAATTTTGTCCCTGGAATGCATGATGCAGTTGCATCAAATTAGACCTATGCGGCCACATAG